CAGTCTTAAATTACACCAAACTATGAAAAGACATTGTCTCAAGCACCAAAACGGCCTAACTATTGTTATAAATCAACATTCAAGTCGCGATCATATTTGTAAACAATTTCGCCGCAACTGTTACGTCTGCTAGTAGTACGAGCCAAAGAAAGACTGCGCCAAAGTCACCTTAACCAAAGGAAACTTTATTATTGTACTCCAATAAAACTCTGCTTATTGCAAATTGCTATAAATAATAACGAATTAATTTTGTAGGTCAGGGAACGACAGTATTTAGAAAATATTGGCAAACAATGTGTCAAGTTTTGGCGGGAAAATTTCGCTTCTTTTACGTAATTGGGTTTCAAACAAAATTGATGTTTTTATGGCCTGGTAACGGGACCTTTAAGACGAATCTTATTTTCACACTAAATTTGATGTTAATATTTTCCACAGACAAGTGTTGTTAGATAGTAACTCGGTATAGGGCTATTTACAATAAAAATATTTTCAAATTGAAATTATCTGTGGACTACGTTAATATTAATTAATTATTATAATAGCAGGTACTCATTTTATCATTTGGATTTAGTTTATCTTTCTTTACATAAATCCCATCAGTGTCTGAAAGTTTATTTACAGATACAGAGCTGTATAAAATAATCTTTACTTGCTTGCTACGCTTTTGTTTCTTTAATTTTTATCTTAAAAAATTCGTTTTGTTTATAAATAAATTGATTTAATAAATAATTTTAGTTAATTAAATTGTATTTTTTTAGTGATTCTTCTTGAATAAAAAAAGACTAATTGATAATTTCACTTAATTTAATTTCAACTTAAATCTGTTTACATGTCACTTGGTACGGGAAATCCCCTAATTTGTACGCCAATGACTAAGACGCGCTCTGTGTCATAGTTTATCTCTAACTGGGAATCACCGTATGATGGTGACCTTTTATGAATAAACAGTACTGTGAGTTACAGATAATTCGACTTTTCATTAGTACTATAGACTAGTTTACAATTCGGTGATAGGCATTGCGCATTCACCACTTACACTTTTTGTATGATAAAGAAGGACATACAAGCAAGGAGTTCACTTGACGGAAGGTAAAATAAGTCAGCCATATAACATCTAACTACATATCATCCGTTTTCTAACAAACTTATGTTAACTATTTAGACATTTTAAAACTTTAGATTGGATAAAAATATGACTTGGGCAGGACTACTTACAGAGTTCCGTGCTTTTGCTCTGTGAATGCCAGTTCTAATCCTGCCCGAGTTGTAATACTTTAAATTTATTATTGATTCTTAATTCACAAAGTGTCGCCATGTGCAATAACATGTGAAAAACGTTAAAGTTTTCAAACAATTATTGATTCATACCTTCTTTTCAGTGGCAAACACATAAATGCTCTAAAGAAAAAGCAGAGTACAAGAGTTAGTTTAGTGTAGTTTAAACATGAGTTCATTAAAGGAAACTTACTCAAATTAGCTTATTAAATTTAGTGAGTAAATTTTCTATAAGATTATTATAGAATAGCTGTGTAGTTTAATATACATTATGATATGTTTTAAAAAGTATAGACGACTTAAAGTAAGTTAAAGATTTAGTAAATGCACTGGTATATAGAAATATTTTATTATTACAGATACGACACATAGGTCAATTATAGAGCAAAATCAGGCGGGTAGATTCGAGTCTTGCCAGTTTTGATAAAAAAATTGTTTGTAGTTTTCGTGAGTTTATTTAAATCAGTGTCACCGTGACCACGGCTGCTGCAAAGCATCCGAAACGTCGGACCGAAATTAAAAATCATTTTCCAATAGGTTTAACTTTTCAATAAAATTTTAGTTTAACATATTTTTTAATTTTAATAAGCCGTCAATCCGTTGCTTCTGATAATCTCACGTATTAAACTTTGGATCTCGTATGAGACAGGATATAATATATGAGATTACATAAGAAAATCCACTATCCACTTAGGTTCCTGTTTTGGCAAACTTAAATAGCATTATACGTATGTCGTTATGCAATTGCTACAGACTATAAATTAGATTGCAGATAATATAAGTTAGAGCACGTACCTTCAATAATGTAAACCAGTTACATGCAAATTAGAAGGTAATAAATAAATGATCTCAGTTTGCATAACTAGAGAGAAACTAGGCTCTCGGAGTGAACGGAAGAACGCTGATATACAAAAACTGGAAGGGACACCCTTTTGCATCCTTAGCAGCTATTGTTATTGTATGTAATTAATTTAATTTCTTTAATTCTCTTAACTATATATAAGATCTAAGTCAAATCTGTTACTTATCTGTTAACACTCATTAGATTAAATTAGATTTAGGAAATGGATCAATCAGCTGGTAAAAACATAATAATTATTATTATTTAATATTTGCGCGCGAATATAAGATGTATTGTTTTACTTCTAGGCAATTATTGAGTATTAATTTCTTAGTTTTATCAAATAGGTATTTTTTGTAGCCTGATGAAAATAGTCAATGGACAGAACAGGTTTGACTTAAAAGTTACATAACATGAGCAGGGTGTCCGACAATGCACAGACGACTGTTCAAATGAGCCTAGGAATAAAGTCAATCCATAAAATCAACACGAAAATGTGACCGTTTCGAGCCTAAAAATTCAGGTAATCAAGAATAATAATTCCCCAAACTGCAATTGCAAATGTAAATTGAAATTGTGCATTGTTTTCTAAGCAAACAACTCGCCAATGAGATAAATATTTGATAAAACTTGCGTCACTCACCTTAATTTTAGAATTCAATTAATATTTGTTGTATAACAATGGGTATTATCTTCGAAATTGTTAATAATACCGCGATAGTTGAGCAAAATATATATATACAGACCAGATATAAGAGATCATGTAAAAAACTGGTCCGACAATTATTCAATTTTATGCGTAAGGTTCCCGCAGGCACTATTTCGCCTATAGGAATATATAGTTTTCTATCGGAAAGAGCATTATCAATATATACATTAAGTAAGATCATCTAGCTAAGACTTAACTCAAAAAAATACACAAATATACAATAATTCTTAACACATTATAGCAACTACAAATTTTGTTCTAGTGTCTCTTCTAGAGTTCATGCCTATGCCATTGACGATGACGATTTATTTATAGGGACAAAGAAAGATTGTGCCATAAATTAGCCCGGCATCATGTTGGGAATTTTCTTTTCCTTCGAAACGAACATACACAAAAACTAACAAATCCGGGAAATGAACTACAACCAATTTTTTGACCTATTTATTATTTAATAATACCATACTTATTAAAAAAAATCGAAGAAATGTTGCCACATCTTGTCATTTAGATCTTGGTTGAAAACGGATCCCTAAAATATTCATACTGCTCTAACGTACAGAACCGCTGCACTGCAGGACCTCATTTAGGTACGGTTCAAGGTGATCTCAATTATGTCGAGATGAATCACTAATGACTTGGAATTAAATAGGGCGTCTTCTCGTTAACACTCTAGTACTGAGGAATTTCAAAGTTTTTATTTGCAACTAACTAAGTTCGTACTTCGCGTACTACATTCCGTCGACTGCTATTTTTTAAAAAACCAATACGAGTACATATTTCAAACAAAAAGTTTGAAAAAAAAATTTCTGTTTTACAACTATTGTTAAATTATTATTATTTTTTGTAGGATTTTTGTTGGCTTACCAGGGTGGTGTTATAAGTGTTAATACAGTCAGTAATGATTATACTATAATCAATGTCTATATACAAATAGTTCAGTAGATTATACAATAATTTTAAAGGCCTCTCATATGCCACATACATTTTTACATATGACACAAACAGACAGGGCAAACCTAAACAGATCTCGTGCTCCAATCAATAATTTTAAAAGTATTTCAAATAACGTCTAAGCGGCACTGCATTTGCTAAGTAAAACCCTATTGTCTCTGAAGTATGAGGCGAGATAACACCACAATATCTCAAGAAACAGGTCAAGAAGACATGTGAAGGTGACATAAGATTCACCGAGATTGCGATGTGCGACGGCCAATCGTGCAATTAATTAGGGATTAACTAAGCCCTGTATTATTAAGACTCTCACATATGCAGTCAACGCAAGTTTAATCAACTATTAGTACGTATTAACAGTTTTGCTTCGAGTAATATAGAAAAAATACTAGTCGGTAAGAATTACTTTTTGTTACAAAACTGTACAGATAACAATAAATAAGTAAATATATAAGGGGAATTACATGTCATCTCAAATAGATCTGAAAATGTTAAACTTATAGGTAAGAATATATCGAAACTATAAACACATAAGTCTCATCAAACATTCACAGACCAAAGTGATACGAAACCACCGTTTTCAGAGTTTGTTGAGTCGCTTCACTTGAATAATTTGATACTTAGTGCCGTCTAGTGATTGCTTAATACCTCCTGCGTCATTCATATAATATCCCAAATGTAATCCTTTAAAAGACTAGACAGGTTGGTTTTTTTAATGCATTTCGTCTGAATGCGATTGAAATATCTAGCGCGTAACTGTTAATAATTGAAAGACAATTCTAGGATAAAATAAAAATGTTAATGAGCACTAAAACCGGCCTAACCCTATTTCACTTTGATAAGCAGAAATTTTAATTATCTGTCAAAAGATTGGTATCACTGTAGTGCTATTATAGTCTACAAACGATTATCAATGTCATCAATCTGACGTACAAAGTATTCTCAAACTCATGTTAAAAGTTTAGAGACTTGACATTTAGTTTCATAATAAGTTTGAATTTTCTCTCTTATTGTAATATTGGTTGTGAATTTTTATTTTTAATATTTTAATTGGCAAAAGACAATACGAAGTGCTCGTTAATTTAAAAGTAAACATTATCATAATTTTTATGTTTCTTTAAAACCGGCACTTTACCAACTGTCAAACTATTAAATAATTACTGCTACTAAGGTACGCTAGCTTTAGTATTATTAATTACTATAGTAAGGACGAAGATAAAAGAGATGCCTTCGGTAGTCGCAGATCGTCCACGAGATTGTACATCGTGTAGAATAGTTGGCTCTATAGGTCTTGTCGGTATTGGAGGTTACTTAGCAAATGTAGCTTGGCAGAACAAAACTTTCATTGGCAAGCTTACAATATCAACTATGTCGCTTGGTGAGTAGAATTATTATCTCTGTAATATGGTATTATTCATTTAAGTAATATAAACTGGCCCGGAAATAAAGTATAATTTAAGGTTTAATGATACTTAGACAATATGCCACACAGACCGAGATAAATTCTTACTTCTGCAATAGTTTCATTAATATCTTCCCTTTATGCAAATCATATATAACGTAAGTATTTTATTATCTCAAGTTATAAATTGGTATGTATTGGTTGATTTTCATAATTGGTGTAAGACCCTTTTTGTAAGATGTATAAAAATCCTCCATCATTTCATTGGGGTAGACTCGGCTCTCTGTCTTTTATCCCAAAATGTTTCCTAATATAAGTTATTTATTTCTTTGAAATTTGACTACAATATACTTTATGAGTATATTGTAGTCAATAGTATATTGTAATGAAACAAACTACAGCTATTAGTATTTAAAGATTTTTTTTTTGTTACAGCATTTGTGTCCCTTGGTGTTGCAAGATATAAGCAGCAATATCCATTCAATAGAAAAGAAGAAAGTAACAAAAATGCTTAATCAGAGACTAAAGTCATATTAGTTAGTAATTGTGAATAGGACATGTTCTAGTGTAAATATATAGTACATATTTTATTATTATTAATACTCCTCGAAACAGAGTATCTTCTTTATTTATATTATCATATTTAATGTTTTCTTAATATAGTAAAACTGGGCTATTTGGCTAGAGCTATTTGTACTTGGTAATAAATCGCTCGATTTCAAATGCGTTTTACTTAATACAGCGCCATCTAGCGAAAACTCTAAATACTACATAATTGTGCCGCCATCAGTAGCTAGTAGTATTTTTATAGCGTCCCATAGATAGAGAACTAAAAAAAAATTATTTTATATATTTAGTCGGTGATTGCTCACGTAATGAAATAAACTTCATCCTAGCTCTCCGTCTAAGTTATCCCACAAAAAATAAATTTTCTGATTTATTTTTTACTAAATGTAAGTGTAATTTTTATAAAAAAATCAGTCGACTGGCTTGGGTATTATTAGTGTTGCCAAGAATTGCGTCAAACTAAAGCTATTCCTGCGTTCGAATCCCGAATAAATATACAGTTTTGTGCTGGCACGGCACAGAAGCTTGAAACTAAGACATTTTTTTTTTCTTCGGGGATTTTTTTTTTCCCTTTTTTTTTAAATATTTTCTATACAATTAATCTTATATTTTAAACTGGTCCTTGTTATAAATAGGTGCTATAAAGGTTTACACACTCCCATGAACCCTTCATATTGCTGACCGAACTAATGAGTTCCAAACAGGGATCAAAATATATTCTGAATACTCAACAAAGTATTGTTACTATATATTCTCAACGACATAGTTACGCTTTCTATTAATAACTTACATACAATTTGTGCTTAATATAATTGTTCAAATTCCATTATTTAATGGTCCAATTTGGCAAAACAAAATAATACAAACTGTATTAATAAACATTTTATAATAAAAATCGTATATTTATTAACACTATTGCACACAAAAATTCAAACGAGACATATTAAATATATGGAGTACAATGGGCGGCCTTGTCGCTAACAAACAATCACTTCCAGGCAACCCAATATTATATATTATATTTCCCTTCCTCTTTTTGTTTTTATCACTTGCGATACTAGAAATAAAATAGAAGGTTAATGTAACATTGTTCACGTTTTACTTACTGATTTATTTTCTAACTGTACCTACTTATTTACTTGTAAAGCAAAAAAGGAAATAAAGCTGTAACATGATGTCTGAATAACAATGAACTCGTCCTTACAAGCTTTTAGTGGAGACGTCCGCGCTAACTAAATGAATGGTATTACTCGATTACGTCGACGCAATAATGTCAACATCGGGATAGATCACGGCCACAGTGCACTTTGAACAGTAGTACAGTTGAAAAAATGGTAAAATTGAATTAAAAGAAAGGGTCATTTGCTTCACAATTGGTTGAGCAACAGCTACTGTGTTCCGCACATCGCCACGGCGGAGTGTTATTTCAACCTTCCACAAATCGTTAAGGGATAATATTGTATATATGATGTTTTAGCATTTACGTATTGCCTGAAGTTTACACAAATAGTACACATTTAAATAAAACGATTTAAAACACGAAATATATTATATAACTTTTTTTTAACTACAGCCAACAGTACAGTTTTGGATGCTTTGCAACAGCAGTACAATACTACTAAAGTGGCATTTAAGATACACCCACTTAAGTACATTAAAAAAAGTTTTAGCATTTTTTTGATTAAAAAACGCAAAGGCACTAATCGGATTCGCATTAGTTCTTCTATTTTATTTTTTAAGTATAACTGGAATCAATATCAGTATCATGCTTTTCTGTATCATGTAAAGATCACTTCCGTCCGATATTTAACAAGTGAGATTTATGTTACTGTGTTTATTATTGTACTGTGGTTGCAGGCGAAGTAAACAAGTCGCGCTAATGATAAGACGACGCCGCGTAGGACAGACGCGCGCCCAGCCGCCCGCCCAACGTTAAAAAACACATCGGAGATGGGTGAGTACCCTTTGCTTGTGTACAACACTAGTTACAGGCAGTGTCGATAAAATCGCTACCATATGGAACGCTTAACTGTAGTTTTATGCAAACATATTGCGGTTTATAAACACGTTTTACTAATACTACAATATTGTTTAACAGATTGTTAGTGAAATGGTATAATTGTTAATGCCTTGATTACATTGGAATATCTAATGCAGAAATAGTGGTTAACAGATTTTAGTTTTTTTTTTCTTTTATTTAATTTCGTTATTTAACACATTATACAGAATATTATCAATAAACGTTTATAATGTTGAATATATTAGGCACAACAGATCGTTAAGTATTTAAATTATCTTTAAAGAGCAGAAATTATCTGAAGAATAGTTAATTTTAAAGTGTTTATTTTTGTTAAAAATGTAATACACCTCAGGCTATATTTAGCCCGTCCGTTGTTTGCAGAGCAATTAAGCAAATCAAACAACGAAGCAGAATTGCTTTTTACAGCTATTCACATTGTATTTATGGCGTCTCCGCAATCTGCATAATGAAATGACATCGGTGGAAAAGTTTTCAACGTCTCGAGTGATTCGAAGGGAAGAATAGTCGAGGGTCAAAAAGTTAGCTATGGCCGGATGAGATGGATTTTCATGAATACTAAGTCAACAACGTCTCCTCAACGAGGTTTTCCTTAAATCCAAAGAAATTAATTTCTCAAATTTCGCGGATATAAAAATAAATATGATGAATAGAGGCAACTCAAGACAGCGAGTTTTTATCATTATAGAAAGTAGGTAACGCTTAAATCAAGTGAATATCAATGTTGGGCTGTAACAACAATTTAATCTTAACTATGTTATACATAGTGTATGGTTATAAATAACATTACTTCTGGGTATACTAGTATACACTTTTTTTAATCTTTCATATATTTCAGATACACGTAACGTTTAAATAGTACATTCTGATTTAAAACACTTTTCATATGTTACGTCTAATTATTACAAGAATAATAAGAACCACATATTATTGTATTTATCCGTTTTAATACCTTAATAGATGCAAAATTTATTAATTGTTTATGTGTACGACTACCTCCAAAAACTGGTCGGTAACAACAAATAGTTTAGGACTGGCAGGGGCAAAGGTCCGGTTAACTATTTGCCTAAATTAAATTTATACGAACTTTTATGCCCCAAGTAGGAAAAACTATAGCTAAAAGAGAGGCCCTCAACTTTCCATCCTTTTTTATATATTTTTCATAGTATGCATTTTTTTCTGTACATTTAAAAATGCTATATGATAACTCATGGCAACGCGTCGGGGCAGCGATCGATGTTGTTCTATAGCATCAATTTGTTATCATCAGATAAGCTGTGGCCCGGCAAAGTACTCAGCGACGTACCTTGGGAGAGCGACTACGCAGTTATGGATGAATACCACGGCGACTGGAACACGGCTTCTCGGAAAATAGTGAATGCACTGAAACCGGAAGCCCGAGTCTCAACGGAAGTGACGTTGGGCAGCGTATGGAGTGCAGTGTTGGGTGCGGTCTTCGGCGCCGGAGTTGTCATGATAATAGCTGCTCTATTGTTCGTCTTTCGGCGCCCGAAGAAGCAGGAACACCAGCTGGCACCTATTGAAGTTGGACAAAATGTGAGTATTGATTAGCAAATAAGACAGTATTTTAAAGTTAAGTGAAAGTGGATGAAATCACGTTTTTACCTGGCACAGACTTCTTCCTAACACATTTCTGACCTACCCGACCGAAAATTTTATTTCCCCGGAACCCTGGAGCTTTCATATTTAACGCAATTCTAAGAAGCACGTTATACCAATATGCTACTTAGGCGGTCACAAGTTGAATAGTTCTTTAAAGTTAAAGTTGTAAAGAATTTAGTACAATTTTGAAGATTCGCCTTCTGTGGTTTAGCGGTAAAATATGTTACCTTTCTCTTAGTTTGAACTTTAGGTCTGAAGCCTATATTTATATAAATTACATGCACATTTATTATTTCCTTCTATCATTATTATAATTATTGGCTACAGGCTCAAAAGCTAAATACATAAAAAATGCCCCCAGACATAGGAGAATCCTAACAGCGAAAGTTCACAACTCATTTACTTATCTCATTAAAAGGTGACATTTTCATAATCTCATTAAAAACAGTTTATAACAATCTTTCTCTGTGAGCTATACAAAAACCCACGCGAAACGAAACACGTACATGAAAATGCGTTGATAAGGAAAAATTATTTCTCAGTATCTCGGAATCAAAAACAAAGTGTCTTATTGTCTCGCGCCCACGCGCAAGTTCGTTCCTTAGATTATATTCGAGAATCGTTTCTTTTGCGAACGACGTTTTTGCGACTTCATAACGCCAATTGTGCTTAATGGAGCTTTATTATTTATATTCGGACAAAAAATGTTACGTATATGTAACATTTTAAGGTTAGCCCAAAAAGCTTAAAAATCCTTTCCGTCGTATAAAATTTCCGCCAATATCATTATATTATATTTTATCTGCTGCTGATCTAACAAAAAATACTGTAAACAAAAAAAATGAACTTTACTTTTATTACTATGGCACACGATGGCACTATATACTTAATTTAAAAATCGAAAATAAATTGAAAAACATTTCGACTCTGGCAGGACTAAAGCAGAGTAAGAGCACGGAACGCTGACGATACCGGATCAAGTCCAGCCCGAATCGAAAATTATTTTAATTTATTTTACATTTTTAAACAAAAAAAATATTTATTTATATAACAAATGCGATTTTTTGCTTTTTGCTGTATATAATAATGTCATAATACACTTGAAGAATTTACGAATACTTAACGTACGAATAATAAACGCAATTTTTGCTAGCAATATAATTAATAGTAACAGAGCTCTTTTAATAAGTAAAAAATGGTTGCGTCGGTCACTATGCAATTTTTTGTAACGCATTTTAGGGCAGACCCGTAGTATCAGCTACTCGCATAACACTGTATTCAATGAAGACGTTTTGACGTTAAATATATACTTGCAAACATCCGTCTGTTACTTTATACGTAGCAATGTATATTTTAAACAATTAATATCTTAACAGGATTTGCAGTGAATGTCGTGTATCCTTGGTCTAACTAATTTCCAACAAATAAGATTTCGACGATATTTCCCTCGAGACCTCTCTACTCTAAACAAAATGAAGGGACCAACGGATTTGACGAATGACTTGTGAGGAAGTTCATTATAAATATTTTATGGTTTTATTACTATTTTCCTCAAATTAATTTAAATTAAAAAATCTTTGTAATTCAGCCAATGCTTGAATTGCCAACGTGTTGAAGTAATCAATAGATTATTTCAATTGATCGATTATCAAAGAAAATAAATAATCAATATAATATCCAAACAAAAATAATTTACGTTACTATTACTGTTATGAGCGCCATCTTTAGAAAATTTCATAAATACAGCGAGAAAGGCACAAGGAAGACGTTCTCGAACATTATTCGTCCTTTCTTTATAAGCAAGCTTGTATAGATGGCGCTACTTGTACTATTTAATATTATCACTACAGCTTAAATGTTTGTTTCATAGTTAGTATTTTTCAGGTTATTATAAATTGAGATTTTTAATATTTTTTATGAAAACCTTTCCTTGTTTTATAATTAATGATGTAACTTTTACGTATCAAATGAAATAGATTCAAGTATCCATTCATGATTATAAATTTTATCGTTTAAAACGTTGTATGATTAAGATTAATGTAAGTGATTTTTTAAGAAGTTAAAATTTCAACGACATATAAGAACTATAGTGTTTTGTGCTGTTGCTCTACCAACTAATATGTTATTAGTTTAGTTAAAAAAATCCTTACAAAGCGTAGTCTATATAGTAGTTTTATTGTCGTGTCTCGAAACTTTCCACAGCGACGTAATGTTACTAACCTCTCTCCTTACAGTGGTTCTAGTAAAAAACAAGTATGTTTATACACATTTATATAAACAAACTTTTTCTATGAGGCCGTCTCTTATGATTGTAAGATGTAGATATTTATTAACATATAAATAAAAGGACTTTTTATTAACCTAAGTGGTTATTTTAATTATTTTATCGCTATCTTGTAATACCATATCTACTTTCATCTTTATTTGTAATTCGTATTCTCGATTCGAATTTGGAAAAGTTTAAACGAAACGTTCGCGGTGAAAAACCTTTTCCAACAGGGTACTTCTAAATAATTTGATGTGCCTGATTTGAATCAGTTTCATTTCGGGAGCGGGGGACGGCATGGGGTAGAGGGGGCATGCGTCCCCCTGATCGATGCAGCACTTGTTGCCGCGTTCAACAGGCTCCAAATATCTATAATAACCAAGGACCTTCAAACCTCAGGGGTTAGGTGACCTTATACACGAAGGCAACATTGAAAAAATGTTGTCAATTTCTGACTACTCCAATTTTTCATGTACATTTTGTATGAGATTATATTTTTAACGATTTGTGTGTATAAATTGCTCAATCAAGCTACGGCGTAGCACGGTTACGATAACTCTTTACGCAATTTTGCATACATTATATTGACGTTCTTTAATAGCCAATAAAATATTTTAAACCGGTGATGCTCCAATATAGCTTCGGCGATAAATATAAAACTCTTTAAATACGTTCCATAAAGCTTTCCGGAAAGTGATAAAAACTAGAGCCATAAAGATGTCGTTATGCGCAAGTACGTTTTAAAGTTTCAACCGAGATGGATTTTGGGATAATCCCCGCTTCAGTAGCTTAACTCTCTATGACTGACTTCGATAACTTCACGTTCGTCAAATCTTACCTGTTATTGTTCTTTGGCTTTTTTTGTTTAAGTCGTGACCTTATACGCGACTCTCTTACTATTACTTTTTTTTTCAAAATTAAACATTAATTATTTTACTCATATCATGTGCATATGCTTTATATCAATTTAAATTTAAAAAATACTACAATATAACAAAAGACTATCGTGCTTTTGCGCTACCATGTTGCTTTGCCGAACGTAGTGGGTTCGGATCCCGCCAGAGTCATACAAATTCTGTCTATCTAAGACTTTTAATTTTTGAGACTTACCTTATATTTACACTACTAAAAAAATGTTATAGTTTTAATTTACTAGTACAATTGTAGTGTGTGTCGATTTCCCTATTTCGAACTTAGTAGGCAAATTATTTAGAGTGATATTTTTTTTAATTTTACTGTCAAATATGTCAAAATAACTTCAATTTGAAACTGTTGTTTATAATCAGGTAACATTAGTTACAACGAAAATCATTATTAAAAGAAGAAGAGCTTCTTTTCTGTATTAATATTAGGAAAATCTCCACGTCACGAAATATCTGCCTATTTGCAACATATTATGCGAGTTATGCGAGAATCTATCCTGTCTGTAGCTCATCAATCAATAATAACAACTTGTGAGTGGATTCTCATGATAGATGTTACATCATTACTCTATGTCGTGTTACTTGTTACTACCTTGAAGCGTCAGCGCCACTAGCTCTACTAATTCACTCGAGAGGAAACTCGTTACACTTTGATCTGACGCTTGTAAAGTGTTTACAAAAATAGTGAAAGCGATGAATTGCCTAAGGGTTGAAAACTACATGTGTATTTTACTCATTACGCTGTGGCGGAGCTTTTCTAGTTCAAAGCACAACATTTTGTGAGTTTTGGAACTCAGGCAGTTGTTTTATAAAGCTAGCCAGGTAGTGTAAATAGATTATGTGGATACATATATCTACCATGTACACTACAAAACACAGAGAAGCATTTATGTTTGTTTTTTTTAATAAAACACGTTTAACGGTTCGAAATGTCAAATATATAAGTTAGATTATGTTAATTTTTTTTTACTACTTGGCTTGACGTTTAAGATGCTTTGCAGCAGCCATTGTCCGACTTGACATTTCACGTTTTACACTGTTAGGTGTTTTATTTAAGTGTGTACTACTCGCATAAAATATATAGACTAATACGGTTTTATTCTTCTTTGATTTGGTAATACAATGTTAATAATTATAACATAAATTCAACAAAAAAATTTAAAGTAACAAAAGCCTTTTATATTTTATTTTTCTTCTAAGCTTAATTTGTAAAACAATATATATTTTTTTGTGTTTTAGAAAATTTTATTAATTTCAATTTCGTTTGTAAAGACAATCCACGCATTCACTGTTCAATCTTTTTGAATATAAAAACATTTATACTATTTTTTTAGTTACCGAATTATTACTTCGGCCCAACGTCTCTTGTTTCAGCAGCATATTCGGGAAAACTAACCTACCTCTTATTAAATTAAACTTGACTTGCATTTTGACCTAACACTAATAGTCTATTTAAGTTCAAGTAATAATTCATTGCGGTGACGTTTACCAGGGCAAAGCAGCGCACAGAATTTATAATTATCTTGTTAATAATTAATAATGCTTTCGTCATCTCCGAGCACTAGTTGAGGAACTGCTTCGTAGTTCTATAACTTTGAATAAATAATAGCAATAAGCGTGTATTATTAATGGAAAAAGATAAATAATTATTTGATACACATTTTCGTAGCGCACACTAGAGAAACACTAACAGATGGATAATTTTCCCTATTTTCTCCAAGTTTTCCTCCATCAATCCGCACCTATTGGTCGCTACCTTA